CAAAACCACCGCAACCAAACTTAAGCAGAGAAGAAATGCAAGCCTTAAGGAATCTAAACAAAAACGAAAACATTCTAATAATGCCAGCAGACAAAGGAAATGCCACTGTCGTCATGAATACGTCGGATTATAATGCAAAATTGGAGGATATTTTGAACGACCCAATATACAAACTAGTCACCAGAGATCCCACGACATATTTGGAAAAAACAACTAAGTCCAAAATTCTCGATTCATCAATAAACGAGGATACAAAGAAGAAACTTATTCCGAGGGAAAAATCGAGTCGTTGCCCAAAATTCTACGGGCTCCCAAAGATCCATAAGGACGGGGTTCCCCTGCGTCCAATCGTAAGCGCCTTTAACTCACCATTATGCAAGCTGGAAAAACATCTGGCCAGTGCACTTCAGCCTATAGTGGAAAAGGCAGATTCCTATGTTAAAAACTCAGAACATTTCACTCAGATTTTAGGTTCTCTCAGGATGGACAAGGACGACATTATGGCAAGTTTCGATGTCAAATCCCTCTACCCGAGTATTCCAGTAGAAGAGGCACTCTTGCTTATAGAAGAAAACGAAGATCTTCCGCCATACATAATGGATCTGTCAAGACATTGCCTGAAAAACGCTTACTTTATGCACAACAGGAAAATTTACCGACAAATAGATGGAGCAGCAATGGGATCATCTCTCTCACCTGTGATTGCCAACCTCTTCATGATTTACTTCGAAAAGAAAGCAATAGAGAAGGCAAATCTGAAGCCAAAACTATGGACAAGATACGTTGATGACGTATTTGTTGTATGGCCTTTTGGCAAGGAGGAGCTTTTGAAATTCCTAGATCATCTGAATTCCATTCACCCAAGGATTCAATTTACAATAGAACTTGAAGAGGATAACAGTCTGCCCTTTTTAGATGTTCACATCACAAGGACCGAAGATGGACACTTGGAACACACTGTCTATAGAAAACCAACACACACTAATAGATATCTGAACGCTAAATCTCATCACCACCCATCACAGATACAGGCAGTGGCAAATACATTAATTGCTCGGTCCTTCAGGCTCACAAACGAGAGGAACAGAGATAAAGAACTGAAGAAAATTAGTACCTGTCTTCAACAAAACGGATACCAAAGGCGCACCATCAGCAAGGCAATCAGTAAACAACAACAGCCGCAGCAGAGAGTGCAGGACGAGACCCAACGAAGATCGATCGCTGTCCTGCCATACATCAAGGGGGTTACTGACAAAATCGGCCGAATATTACGGAAACACGACATATCAACGGCATACAAACCTGACCATACCATCGGAGCAATACTAAGAAACCCAAAACAAAAAATTACTCTGGAAAACCAAGGAGTATACAGTGTAGCATGCGGATCGTGCAGCCTGACGTATGTGGGACAGACCAACAGAAGGATTTCAGCCAGGCTCGAGGAACATCGTTTAGCCATAAGAAACAAACAAACAACATCTGCTTTGTTTCAGCACCAACATCAGACAGGCCATAAAATTGATTTCGGCACTTGCAAACAAATAGCTAATATTCCTGATTTTAGGACTAGGATTATACGAGAGGCCATCGAAATAGAAAAGTCCGGACACCTCAATACGAGAGACGACGCTCTGCATTTATCCAACACGTGGAGAACGATAATCAAACAGCAGAGCGATGCGCAGCAGCCAACGGGGACATCGCAACTACGATCGGGCGAAATGAACAACGCGACAATTCAGGGGGCGGAGCCACCTCCCCCCACGCACAAGCAGCACCGTTACCATCTCCGGCGCAGAGTATAAATACCGCACGCACCGCCGATAACCTCCCAGTGTTCGAAGTGTTTTCGGAGCGCGAGCATTGAAGATGCCAAGTGAGATTTTGGCGAAACGTCTGCAGGATTCCAGTCGGATGCAAGATTTGCAGGATTCCAGTCGGATGCAGGATTCCAGTCGGAGTTCAACGAGCGAACGGATGATATCCCGGAATATAGTGTCATCACATTTTTCCATCCGTGAATCAATACGTGAGAATATATATATATATATATATATATATATATATATATATATATATATATATATATATAGGTTAGGTTTGAAAGAAGCCCTGGCGAACTATGCGGCAACTTTGCAGCTGAAATGTAAGCAAAAATTGCGGGTAAAATCCCAAGACGTTCGTAATTGCAAACGTAACAGCGCAACACAATCTAATTTCAATGTGATGGAGAAGCGGAAATTAGGTAACTCCACGGTGGTATAAAACAAGGAAACGAATAAAACAGAAAAGCGAATAGGGTTTTAATTTATTGTCGCGTGGCATTTACCTTGCGGGTGACAACTTTCAAAACTAAATTAGTCAGTCATTCTTTAAAAAACTGGCACAACGACATTTTACAAACAACCCCACAGACGGACAAATGTAACTGTATATTGTTACGCATTCGTTTATGAAAATTTTAGATTTAGGAAGGCTTAACGCTTTGCGAAATAAAATCAAACAAAGGCGGGCGAAGTTTGCGAAGCGGAAAAGGAAAAACGACGGAACAAAGAAAATATTTATCACGAAATCAGCACTTGAACTTTCATCTGCGAAAGTTGACGGACTCAAATCAGAAAAATTGTTGTTTGCCGAGGAGAAATCTCGCATTTATTGGAAACTTCCCGTAAAATTAAAAGGTATACATAACGAAATTATAATGGCGAGTTTGTCTCGTATTGCAACTCATCTGTGGCACCAATAACGTCTACGCTACTCTATAATGACCTAAAGAATATTTAAGCCCCTTTCATTATTCTTTTTTAAAATTCTTTTCTTTGATAAAATTCCTGTCCTCTGATAAGTTTGAGAAGGTGGTATTTCTCATTACGAATAATGCCTCCAAAGTATTCTAGTCTTGTGCGCCTGACATGAGGGTCCGTGCTTCTGTCTGAGAAAACTATCTGATTCTAATGACTTTAATAGGTTTTTCCACCATAACAAAATGCCTGACCAGAAATTAATCAATTCTCAGCACAAATAAATTTGGTGCTAGCTACGCAAGATGAAGTATTTTGATATAATTAAAAATACAAATTCTACAACAACAATGGGCAAAGTATTCTTCCTACTCTTTCGAAAATGTTCGAAAGGAAACCGATAAGAGGATTTCTGGCAGAATACAATATCCTGCCCAAAAAGCAGTCTGGTTTTACAATTTGGACCTTAATATTGACAAAAACGAGGATGAAAATCAATGTCTAAAAATAAGACCATACTTTTGCAACCAAAATAGATATAATATAATATATGATAAAAAATAAATAATAAAAAATAAATATAATCTGTCATTGCCAGTTGTCTAACTTTGTTATCAAATTTAATTCGGAATACAATTTCCTCAATGTTATTGATATCAATGGTTCAACGGTCTTCTTCCTTTGCGGATCCACTAATAGAAATTTTCTCTATACCCGGCTGGATAGGCAGTCTTCCTCTAACTAACTAGAAAAACAATTGAATGTAAGGTTTAAGAAAGAATTAGGAAAATGTACTCTTTATAATGGAATACCCAGTAATTTTTTTACTCTAGCGTTCATAAATCACAACGAAAAAATAGTCATATGCAATTTTAGCCTAAAATTGAAAATAACAGGATAATCAGCACATTTCTGTTTTAAACTATTTAGGCATTGAATGGTTGCGAAATAAAACTCCATTTAACTTTTATTGTTTAATTGTTTAATTTAAGAAATAATAATAATAACTTAGATTACCACGTCTTCATTTATTATAAATTTTTTTTCGACTCCTTTTCTGGACATTTATTATAAAATAAAAAAACATATATTAGTGATGACGTGGAAATTGGTGTTCTTCGATATTTTGAAGCATATTGTGCCAATTCTATTTAATAACTAGTAAAAGACTCTAACCTATCCTTTAATATTGCCCAAAACATTTAAAAAAAACACACAAAACAAGACTTTTTTTGTCATTGGTATGTTATGTCAGTTGATAGGCCAAAACATAATTTTCTGTATATTTTATGGACAAACTTTTCAAATGCTGGGATTTATAATCTAAAAAATCATCATTATTGGTCAAGAGAAAATTTATTACTAGTACAATTTTGAATGGATTTCTAAATGAGCTTGCCTTCATAAGTAGCCAGAATCTCCATTTCCAACAAGATAGCGCACCAGCTCATAACTTCCGAGACACCAATCAATTTTTAACAACCATTTTCAACAACCTACTTTCTTATTTTCATGTTTTTAGGCTCAAATATAACAATAAAAGTAAAATGGAGTTTTAAAGAAATTTGCTGATAATTCTTATTTGTTCTATTGGTGATTTACGAACTTTAGAATAAACAATATACAGGGTGTTTCTGTTCAAAAGAGTACATTATTCTCATTTTTTCCTAAACCCTATATTCAATTGTTTTCCTGCTTTCGCCATGGCAATCAATAGAAAAAATGCTGCTTTAACCGACTTTGTATCTCTACTCATAACAAAGTGACCAATGATACTTTAAATGTCAAGAAAGATCGTCCAATAGATTCTATAGGTCCCCTCCCTAGTGATTACCATAAATTTAATAATTTTTGGATTTTGAATTCCCATGTTTCAGCTATGTTTTTCAATTTTATCCATCATTATTATGAAATAAGCTACTTATAATAATTTGCCATAGTAGGCATTCGTAGACCTAACCGATTTTGATGATAATTAAAGAGAATTTCCTAAACCACCCCGTTGTCGGTTTCAGTATTCAATAAGAAAACACAATAAGTGCGAAACCAGGAAACGAACCCCTAAACATGCAAGATTTATTAATGTATTTTGACAGCGACCGTATATTCGGCCTGCAAGTGGCTAGAAAATAAACGCAATGTACAACTGGAGAACAATTATTACGGTAAAGCCAAAAAGCTATTCATCACGAGTCTCCCTCCAACCCCCAACTTTATTAATTCCCGTTCTACACCTTACATTAATAATTGTTTCAGTTTCGAAGGCGAAGATAATCGGCAATCCCGAGCTACATATCAAGAGCGGAAGCGACATCAACCTAACATGCGTGGTCCTTCAAACGCCGGATCCTCCTAGTTTTATATATTGGTAAGACAAATTACTTTTCTGCACGTATACGATTGAGCCCACTGTTTATTCTCTCATTTAAAAGAAAATTCATTAGAAGCGTTTTCTTTGTTTATTTTACCCGGACGTTGTCATATTATTGTTGCTACGACAAAATAGCTTCGAAATTAATACTGTGATTAATAGGTCAAGAGGCAGCTATCGAACAGCGGCATAGCGAGCGGGGTGCATGGCTACGATTGTAATTATAATACATAAATATACAGTGCCCGCGTAAATCGTCGGACAATTCATTTATTTTTTGGGCCCTTGTATATAGGACCTATATAAAATATCAAAATGACAGCAATACCATTTTAAAAAAATACTTAAAATGGCGGCCTGCTGTCATTTTGACATTTTGAGATGGTTTTATGTCAAAAATTAGACGTTTTAATTATATACGTGCATTCCAAATTTCACAGTGCTATAAACAAGGGTGCAAAAAATAAAAGGGAGCACTATCATAAAACGGAACTGGGAAACAATTTTTAAAAAACAAAAACCAATCCCTAATATCTCAGTCACTTATTTTAACTGGTATATTATGATACGTACTGAATCTATCAACTCATTTACATGTACATAAAAAGAAAGAAAAAATATTAAATATCTTATTAACAGAAATATACTTTATTTATATAGAAAAGATTTATATTTACATTTCATATAAGTGTATATAAAAAATTTAAAAAATAGGCTTGACACTGAACTTACTCGAGAAGATTTTTCCTGTTGACTAGATATCTTGTCTTTTTTTTTAATTAATGGTGACAAGTCTTTTAAAAAAAGAAGAACAGTATTAGAATATTTAACAGTAAAAAATGAAGTGTTGGATAAATAATCCACAAAGGATATCAATCACCATGATTCGCGATGTATAGCAGGTTAGACGTTTATGAAAAAGGAGATTTGTGGAAAATATTGGTCAAATTGATTGACAATCTCATAACCAGTTTTAGGCAATATGTTAAATATTTCCATTTTTGCGAAAACTTGTTTATATGACTGTAAGAGAGACTCAATTAGAGGTACGTTTTGAATAAAAAATAATAAATAATATTCATAAAAATGAGCTCTTAATACCGTTGAATGGAAAAACGAGATGATTATTATTATAATCAAAATTTCGAGAACAATGAAGCAACTCTTTTAATAGCTACGGAAAGTTAAAAAAAATATCGGAAAAATATGAATTTGAAAAAATGATTAAAGCTGTCTCCTGAACATTAATTGAAAAGCAGTAACTAAATCTTAAAAAATATCATCCAAAGCTCTTTTGGTCGTAACTTCCCTACTGTCTAATTAATAATTTTTTTTCGCCTATTTTAATTCCAAATGTAAAATTTGAAGGGGGGTTTCAAAGAACTCAGAAAAAAGAAAATGATCAGAATTGATTATTAGGCCTAGAGTTTTAAGATACTGTCGACTTGGTTTCAACAACTTTATTGATTTTAAAAACTGACCATTTCTTTATCATAAACGGAAATAAAAATTATAACAAAAATAATTATAAATGAACCTGACATATTTAGTACCCATAGTAATAAATTTGAAAAGAATGATATTTTTTGTTTAAAAATTATAAATATAAATCACAAATTGTTAATGTGTCGAAGTACAGGCATGTGAGATATATATTACATTTTTTCCTCTGTATCCTGATAATGTGTCGTCGAAAAATGTGTAGTATTCAGCTTTAAGCTTAGCAATTCGCAAATTTGTACATAAATATAGTAAAGTAGTGGTCCAAGAACAGAACCTTGTGGTACTGCACAATGTCTCGCTACAAAGTTTAAATATTTTAATATATTGACTACGCTCCTTTAAGTAAGATTCCGACAACTACAATTTTCTCTTGGTTTAAGCTTCTTGAGACATTATTTACGAATTCCAAGGTAGCAGATAGAGTATACAGAGTATTTTCAATTATTTTAGAAAGAACACCTATCAGAGAAATAGCTCTATATTTATTTATTGATGATACAAACTTTTCTATTTTCAATTTTTTAAAGTTAACTAAATCCATCACACCATAACTATTATAAAAACCAATACAAGCAGCTTATATATACATATTTTTTAATATGTAGTCTCTGACTTTGAAAATCATTATCAGGGTGTTGACGTTCACGTGAAACGAATATACCGTATGTATAGCATTCATGCGATAATATTATTAGATCTGTAATTATTAACCAATTCAATAGTGAGCTAATTACTAACCCGGTCTTTGTGCACGGCAATTAATACAGAGAAAATTGCACGGGCTAATTGAAACTGATCGAAACAGTATTTTAAACTGACGGGATGTTTGCTAATTAATTTTGTTGCAACAGCATTATTATTCCATTTAGACGGTGTATTGGTGGGACCCTTGTTCAATCATGAAATTCGAAAAGATTTATATTTTTATTTTTTCCAATAAATGTACTATTGTCTTCAATATTTACCAATTTTCATAGTGAAACAATATAAATTTCAAAAAATACTAAAATTTCATTACGTTCTTTAATAATAATTCAGATTTTTTTTTATTTTTTGGAAATGTTGCTAAAATTTGGACCGAACGCAATTTTTTTCAATTAAAATCTAGCTTTTTTAAGATTTAAAAAATGTTCTATCCTAAAAAATAGATTAAAGAAATAATAACTTTTGAAAAACCTTCTGGGCAAAAAAAAATCAAATTTCAGCAATATTTTTAACGTGGTTTTATCTTCCCTTGGCCCTTTGTTCCTTAATCCTTAGTCAGCATGACCTTCAGTACGCAATACAGCAGAATGCTCCTCAAGGTGCGCACTATCACTATCACATGTGGATATACAGACGGCTCACAGTGTGATGTACCGTGGACAAAATTACCTAAAAAGTCAATTTTCAACTTTTTATTTTTAGCATTTTTGTTACAACGTTGGGCAGATCATTTGTCACTTAATAACATGCAAACATTATTTTATCTTGGTTAGCCGTGCTTTTGTTTAGCCACGCCTCCAAAGTTTGACAACTGTTAACGTTAGCCGAGAATTAAATATTTAGCGCGACTTTTACTGCTATTCAAAGTGTTTTTTTATGTGTTTAGTATTATTCTTTCTGTATAATTTAAAAATGATATCTTCTCAAGTTTGTAAGTACTTCATATTGTTATAAATTAAATTACCGTAAAATTTTCTTAGCGTATTTTATAAGTTTGTGCAGATTTTGTATCATTTTAAACTTTGTCCAAATTTTTATAAAATTCCCTTAGCCTCACATTCAAAATTTTTTAATATGCTATTCAAACACTAATTTACTATTTCCTTAAAAAAAACTACTTGCTTTGGGTTCCGATTAACGGAGTTATAATTTTTTTTTAGTGACAGATGTTACAATAAAAAATAAAGGCCCAATAGACGTTTGGTTAAAAACTCCAAAAGGTTATCGAAAACATTCGGTTTATGATAAAATCCTTTCCCTACTTGATATCGAAGAACCGTCCAATATTTTAAAAAATCAAATTATGAACTGTAACAAGATTTTTGGGTTAAAAATGGTCGCTAAATACGACAAAGCATGTCGCCCCCGCAAGCGAATTTTGGAAAAAGAGGTGGCGTGGGTGAACCAAATTATATATTACGAAAACAAGTTACCAGAAAATCCATGTTCAAAGTCCAGAGGAACTACAGTTTGCTTCACAAATTGTAGCTTCGGGAAGTACGAGTAATTAGGTTCAATCTACTGCAAGTTTTACTCCCACTGAAGCTTTGGCACTTATGTTAGATTTGGATATATCTGTCAGAAAATACATAATTCTTTGATCGGCCATTAATGCTAAAACTCAAAATTTTCTTCCCAGTTATTTTCAACTAAAAGAAGCCAAAAAAGAAATTTTGCCTTCCAATATCTGATATTTCTGCGGAAGTAGATTTGCAGGATCTTTTACATAAAACAATAGAATACAATACAATTTTAAATTTAACTAATTTACATGGTTCAATGGCTTTGACGGTAGTTCTGGGCATAGCCAATATAAACAAAATTTCAATAGCCCTGAAAGCACAGACGAGTTTTTATTCCTTATTGCGGTGGTGCCTCTAAGATTAATTGATGAGGAAACAGGGCAAGAACGATGGCGAAATCCTAGACCCTCCTCTACTTTGTATTGCAGACCCATAAAATTTTTATTTAAAAAAAAATGCTAATCTAGTACGCAATGTTGAAAAAGATTTAAAGGAAAAAATTCAAAATTTACAACAGTTTGCAATACAAAGTATGGATGGTATAAAATGTAATATCCGAACTGATTTGTGGCTAACAATGATGGACGGTAGTGTCACAAACATTCTATCAGAATCAAATTCGACAACAAAATGCGTCATTTGCGGAGCCACGCCTAAAGAAATGAACACTTTAACTGTAATTGATCGTCCATCCAACTCAGATAACTAGCGCTTTGGTTTGTCCACTTTGCATTGCTGGATTCGTCTTTTTGAGTACCTTATTCATATCGGATATCTAATGCCAATAAAGTCGTGGTAAGCTCGAGACACCGAAAAGAAGGCCATTGTAGAAGCCAACAAAAAACGAATCCAGTCAGAGTTTAAGGCTAAAATGGCTCTTACAGTGGCCAAACCAAAGCGAGGGTATGGCTCCTGAAATGACAGCAATACCGCCAGAAAATTCTTCAAAAACACGCAAATCAGCTCATAAATTACAGGTGTTGACCAAATGTTAATAGAAAAGTTTTCAATTTTATTACGGGTGTTAGCCAGTGGTGGTGTAAATTGACTAAGATAAATTTAAAATATTACTAAACGAAACTAGGAATATGTATTTAAATCTTTATAATTGATATAATATGCCAAACACTGTACACAAAGTTCTTGTACATGGCTGTGAGATAATCGATGCCTTCTCATTACCAATCGGTGAACATTCTGAGGATGCTCTCGAAGCTAGACACAAGGAGGTAAGAAGACATAGATTGTCCCACACCAGGAAATTCT